TTGGGTTGAGTACATCCCACACAACTCTCTCCCCTATGTATTATATACCTCTCACCCTCACAACCACAAAGAACTCATTGACAATGTATAGCCCAGACACATAGGATGACCACCGCCAACGACTAGTAATATCATGACGCTAGGCATGATGAGAGGGCCGCTAATGTCTCTCTGGGGGTCTTTATGTACCGCAGGTACGCTGAGGATTCCCACCTCCCCAACATCTTGACCACTGAGTCCTCCAGGCCTGCCTGTGCTGCCGTGGTGGTAGCTCCAATTCGGAAACTGTGTCCCGAATATCCTGCTGGGGATATTCCGGCTTGTTGGAGTGTGCGACGGACTGTCTCAACTAGTTTGTCTCTCGTCAGCGGTGTGCCGTCCATATACACAAACAAAGGCCCCTGCCTTGCTGGACGGACTGCCATAGACGCCAACAGCGCACCAACTGGACAGAGGTCCTTGCTTGTTCGTCCCAGATAGATATCCCCTCCGTGCCGGAATGGGTCAGTCTTACTGCTCTTTACATGTATGCGGATTAGTGTTCGGCGCTCGCGGTCATCCACAGCCACATCTTGCGGTGTGAGTGGTGGAGGCTCTCCATGCTTGGTTGTGAACTCCCCTGCCCTCAGGAACCCCAAAAATCCCACGCAACAGGCTGCCCATAGCATCTTGTAATCTGTCTCCCTGGCATGGCATGGGGCGCCCACTGGTTCCTGAGGTGGCGGAGGATCTCTGGGGTAATGGGCAGACGTGGTTTTGCTGGCTTGGTGTTCCGTCTTACTCCCCTGTTGACATACTGAAGCACAGGGAATGCCCCTGGCCGAAAAGGGTCGCCCTGTCCTGCCATGATGCTGAAGTGACGGATGGCTGAGAGATAGCATTTGAGTGTCTGATATGCCAGCGATTCGGCCGTCAGGTGAGCGACAAACATGCAAAAGTACTTGTTCGGTCACCGGTAATGGCTGCAGTCCTGCCTCTTGACAGAAACGCAGATATCTGTAGGACCTCAGTGTTGCTGGGGCTAGTGCCTGTCCCAGGAAGAAAGAAACCTTTTCCTCCAGTTGGGTGATGTCCAGTTAGTCTAGGTGCTGGTATAGCAGCATGTCTAACAGAGTGACTGGGATCCGGGTGGCCTCTGACTGAGCCTGTGGGGTGGCATTAAAAAATAACCTCATGTAATTGCGAGACAGTGCGTCCGCTGCCGTGTGAAGCACACCTGGCACATGCCTAGACACAATGTCGATCTGGTGACTAGCAGTGACAAAGTGCAAGCAGCGTAAGAGGTGCATTAGGAGGGGGTTCCTGGCTGTCCCTGTTGTAAGACAGTGGACGACTGCCATGTTGTCCGATCGAACCAACACCCTGCACTTTTCCCATTGCACTCCCCAGATTGCTGCACTGATGACGACCGGCACCATCTCCTTGGCAGCGATGGCTATTTCCGCCCAGGATTCTGGCCACTGAACCTGGAACCACTGGCCGCTGTCCGTCACTTCCCCACAGCCCCATGACCCCGAGGCGTCCGAGGTTACTACATGTGACGGAGCCTCCGGGGGCATTATGGACCGCCCATTCCACCTCAGCAGGAAGGATGCCCACCACTGCAGATCTGATTTGAAGCCCGCTGTCAGTCTGACATGGTGGTTGGGGTGTTTCGCAACCTTCACGAGGTCTATCATGCGCCGCAGGAATGTGCGGCCTGGCAGCACCACCATTGCTGAATGGTTGAGGTGTCCTATGAGGGATTGCAACTCACGCTTAGATGCTGTCCTCTTGCTCCACCAGGACAGGAAAAGTCCCAATATGCGGGTCAGCTTGCCGACCGGCAGGCTCAAGCTCATGGTTTCAGTGTCGAATTCCCAGAAATGTCAGCTGGGATGCCATTTTGTGAGTTGCCACTGGCACTCCTAGTTTGCTGCACGTGTCCAATGCTACCTCCTGGGCCTTCCCACATGAATTGTCAGTTGGCATCCCCATGAACAGGAAATCGTCCAAATAGTGTAGCTGCCATACTACCCCCCTGGTGTGCAGAGTCCATGCCAGTGCATCCGCAATGGCCGAGGAGATTTTTGGGGCGGACTGCAGCCCAAAGGGGAGGGCCGTGTCCACGAATATCTCATTCTGCCACTGAATGCTCAGGAGATGGTGATCATCTGCGTGCACCGGCACCATCCTGTATGCCGGATGGAGGTCAATCTTGGCTAGTTTGGCTCCCCTGCCCAGCTGGCGGATGAGTGCGGATGCCTCCAGTACAGAAGTGTACTGCATATGACAGTACTCGACTGAGATCGCATCGTTGACGCTGAAACCACGGGGGGACGACAGGTCCACAATGAGACGCCACTTGCCTGGCTGGTGGGACTTGGGGATGAGGCCTATTGGGTAGTCACTTGCCAGAAGCGGTGGGAGTGGTCCCAACAGCCTGCCCGCTGCTCCCTCCTCCCTTATACGTATGCTGAGTGACCAATGCAGGGAGGCTACGTACTGATGGCAAGTTCCCACTCCGAGTTGGACGCAGCCCTCTTGGTCTGTCGACTCCAATGTGGACACCCTTGCGGGTGCCTCTCAGGATGTAGTCCACAAACTGCCTGTCTGGATGTGTCTTCAGAGCATGCTGCCAGGCTGAGACTCTAAGTGGTGTCGCCGGCATGAAGCGCTGGGGTCCTTGGCTTGTCGCAGTTGCCTCCAATGCCAGGAAGTCCCCCATGTACTGGTAGTGTGGCCTTTGGTCACATTCCCCTGGCAACTGATACCTGTGACAAAGTATGGCAAAGGCTGAGCAGTGCCTGGCCGCCTACGTGGCCCGCTTTTGCCCTAGTGCAAACTCTGCTGACCAGTCCATGCTTGATTTTTTTTAAAATTCTTTGTCCACTCATGGTGACTGCATCATCATAACATGCCTGCATGCACAATATCCTAGGGCTATATAGCTACTGAAGCTGTCCTGCCAGTCCTTTGTAACAGTTCGCCGTTTCTGCGCAGCAAGACCGTCAGAAACAGGCGCACTATCGTTCGTCATCTCATCGATCGTTCAAGGGTTTGGGCCCATAATTACGGATACATCACTGGAAGGGTTTTTTTGACGGGCATGTAGTAGCATATAAGGAATGCCTTATGAATGATTTCGACAAAAACTCACTGACTTCTTTGGTGATCTACCACAAACGTATCCTGGAGAAAAGCTTCTGATATGTGTAGCGCATGATGAATGCACGTATTATGCCAACTGCAACCAGTCATTCTTCTGGGCGGATGACCAAATGATGTTTGTAGGCAAACATCACTTGGATCCCTCCTCAGATTTTATTCATGAAGCTTCTTGCTTCTTGTGCTATGAAACAGACGAGGCACATTTTTTATCAAGACGAACAAAGATAGCTACTCTACAAATAAGCACTTACTGAAACAAGTTGCTGAGGCAGTTGATTGTTTCCACCCAGAAGCATGTTGTCTCTTCCTTTTTGTCAATGCCCCATTCTACAATAAGATGGCAAAGGGCGCACTGAATGCCGACGGGATGAATGTGGGTAGCGGTAGAGTCAAAAGGATATGGTTGTGGGAGGCGAGACCCAAAAACTAGTAGACGAGAATGGAGGGAATGAGAGTTGTGCTGCAGGAGCAAGTGTGTCGAAACTATAGTCATCAAGAGGTGGAGGAGGAAAATGACCGTGCACAGGGCGACAAGAACGAGGGGCAGGAGGTTTATAGATGTCCAGAAGTGGATGAGGCTGAGACAGAGGAGTAGGGGTGAGTTTGGGGATGAGGGATCGTGTCTAATCAGCGTCAGGGATGAAGGATCTTGTAACGCCTATCTTGACCGAGTACCATTATTATACGCGCAGCACATGCTTGTGTATTGATGGGCGACTTAAAAAGTAACGACCAGGAACCTCATTCTTTACAAGGCAGACACAGGAACTAGAAGTGTTGCTACACTCGGGAAGAACGCGGTTGCCACGATAATCGGGGTGAACTGTGCTACCTTCTGTGATACCAGACACTACCCGCCTGTGCCTCGAGTTTGAAGACCATGTCAACTGGCTGGCCGTCACCTGGCCCCCCAGGATACCATTTGACATCGCTGTGTCGGTACGGCTGCCGATCTAGGCTTCCTCGGGTACCTTGATACACTCTAGTTTAAGTTATGTATTTTCCGGAGTATAAGTCGCATTTTTTATCAAGAAATTTGCTTGTTCGACATGCGACTTATACTACTGCGGATGCGAGAAAAGGGGGGCGTACCGTCGATTTCACGCATACACGTACACGCGTGCGATAGGTGGCTCTATGGCGACGAAGCGATGCAGCTACACGGCTGCTTTCAAGCTTAAACACGCTGAAAGACACGGCAATCGTTGTGCAGGAAGGGAGTTTGATGTATGTGAGAAGCTTATATGCGATCCCTCGTGAGCGGTGTGGCGGATGTGCGCATTAAATAGAGTAACCATACAAATCCGTGTATGACAGGCCTAAAGTATGGGTGCGACTTATACTCCGGAAAATACGGTAAACTTTCAATGCACACAAACACAGGATTTTCTTTTTCATTGTTACACACCCCCTTTGATGAATTTCTAATACATTGGAGCTGCACATATGCACCTAGGGTTATAAGTAGTACCGTATTCCCACTTATTTGATTATGCATGGGTGAGTCATAATGGCTTGGCATAGTGTAGCTTCACAGATCAGATTTCAATCTCTGTGTGTGTGGTATCCACATGTGATCACTTTAGTGTTTTTAGTTCAGATATGAAAAGCAATAAAGTGCAAACCCTTTGTTTAAATGACGTTCCTACAATAATGTCATCAAAATAAAATTGATTGATATAAAACATGTTCTTGCAGCAACAGGTATCTCAGTTTCATTTCGATCCGTTATGAAGTGTAAGAATCAAACCTGCATTAGTCCCCATTTGTCAGTAAGCGTCAGCAAAAGCTGGCGGAACCCGTCTGTGTTCAGGTTAGCAGTTTTATAGAGAGAAGCTAAATTTACTTCTCCAACTAAAAAGTCTTGCTGCGCGTGTGATAGCAAAAGATTTAGGCTATGCGTACAGACTGACAGACTTACAAACCAAGTACCGTAATCCTTTCTCTCCGCATACACACTGAGGGTTAATAAATCCAGCTCATACATACGTAAAAGTGGGCATGAACATGTATGAGTATTGCATATATGTGTTCCATTGGAGGTATGGATAATGTGCATGCTGTTAATGTTGGTGAGCAAAGTGAGACTACCTAGTCATCTGAATGCAGGAATTTTTATCTAAATTTATGTGTTGTGATCTGCATTGCTGTTGCACGTACAATCGAAATACGTGTGAAAAATTGAGGTGCACATGCTCACTCTTAAACATGTGTTTCATTTGTTCTAGTTTTATTTGAATACTATTATATTGTTTACATTTAGTCATAATCCACAAGTTCGTTCGAGATAAGTATTCCCTGCGCTTTCCTGAGTTGGAATCTCTGGTACCCACACCTTTGGAATACATCAGGACAGTTCAGGTCTGAAACAAAGTTACAATGAAATGTATCTTGTAATGTAAAATTGAAATGTCACTGATCAAAGTGTATGTGACCCGCTGCGAGACAAATTTGTTGTTCGTGTTTGACGTTGCAGAGAAGTTTCATTTAAAAAGATCTGCTATACACAAGAGGTATTATCACTTCACATACATACTGTTGGGGAGATATGACCGTAAGTGTGCAACAACCTAGAGAATCCAATATTGAGATATATTGCATTCCACATACACGTATTGGCATGTACTTTAGTCATGTGACAGCAGGACCTGCAGCAGAAAGGCCCTTTAGCTGATTTTCTGAGTGCAAAGGAATGAAACTAAGCACACTCTCTGCCTTCAGCAACATCTTCGCGGGCAATAACATTTTCTAAAATGTCATTAGGGGTTCAATGTCATCAGGTTTGAAATGAACTTTTCAGTTGTGCATGCATCTTTGCCTTCTTCAAAACAAGCAGTATTAAGACTGAGATGCCTAGACTGAGAGCAATAGAGACTGAGATGCCCTATGTAGTGCCTGAGAGGCAGTAGCACAGTAGGTGAGGGCTAGATGTGACATGGATATAACACCTTACAAGCTCTATATTGATGCCACTCTAATGTGTCTTGACAATGAAACGGTATAACCATTGAGAGGCTAGCAGTTATATAGAATGTTATGTACGGAATTTCCACAACAACTGTCAAAAGTGAATGTATTATTCTACTACTCCATCGCATACACTATGGCAGTCATCACTCTACTGCATTCTCTTTCCATACGATCCCTCTATTCTACATTGTTTTGGTTTATACTTCAATCGTACTTTCCAAGACCGCCATTAAGAGAGAGTATAGAGGTGCTTTGTATAGTCCATTTTCCCCCTATTGGTTGTTAAAGTGACTTGCTTCATTGACTAACAGCTTTTGCAGAATGACCTAGAAGTAACGAAAGTTGGATTAGATGAAGTACTTCCAGCTGCAACGATTATGGTTGTATCAGTTACTGCCTCGACTACACAAGGGTAAATTTTCCCCCATGTATATACTTCGGTGGTTGCTCACACACTTAACGACAACCTCATTGTATCCCCTAAATTACACATGAAGCAAGTTCGAACTTGCTTAAAATGGTACTCTGTATTACTATTGATCCAAGTTTGAATTTTTAAGGAGGTTGCTGACCAGATTGTTAACCTTCATTGCTTGAATGCTACTAATACCAATAAACAAAGAATACAGATTTATAGCCCCTTGGTTTAATGCCTCATTAGTATTTCTATAGGGGTGGAAAAAAATAGAAGTCGTGCACACTCGACCGGGATACAATTTCTGCATGTGCTGTTTCATGTTTAGGCGTCAGTTGTTCAAAAAAATTAACCCTGTTGACCGTGTGCAACGCAATAGTGCATGCATTTGCGATTTAAATGTTCTGTGTAAGAGAGAAAAATCTTTTTAAAAAAGTAGTTTTAGTGGTAATTAATGGGTAATTACGGTTAAAACAGAAGTAGGCGGGCAAGCACGCGCATACAAAACAGACGCGCAACGCGGCAGTGCTCACACTATCGCGTATCGCAGTGTTTGCAGCGTGTTCTGCCCGCCAAAGCCACTCAAAGTTCTAACGGCCATGGCGACACAAGCAGATCTCCGCACTGCGGACTTGGACTCGCTGCTCAAGGCGCAGCTCACCCAGCTTTGCAGGGACAACGGTCTCCCAATCGGCGGTCTTAAATCATCCCTGATCGCCCGACTGCTGACCCTGCGCTCCCAGCTACCTCCCCTTCCCGCGTCCTCTGCAGCCACCGCCAACACTGGTCCGCAGCAGGGCGTCGGATTCGCATTCACCGGCTTGCCCGCCGTCTCTGCGAACGCCGCCTCCCCCTCCGCCGGCGTCCCTCGCCTGCCAACTGCGCCCACTCACACTGGCCCTGGCCTGCAGCCGCCGAACCTCCATACGATGGCCCGACAGGCCGCGCAGCAAGCCGCGGCTCAAGTGCTAGCACAGTTCGCCCTTCCGTCTGCCGCGTCCTCCACAGCGTTCGCACCAGCACCAGCCCCTCCCCCCTTTCCGTCTACCACTGTGGTAGCTCCACCGCAGCCCACCGCCACCGGGTTCTCGCTGCACCCCAGCCAGGTCCGCTCCACAGGCCTCACCCCAGCCAACCCCTCTCCCCCACTCTCTTCCCTTCATGGAGAAATGACCTACTACCTGCATCACTCCCTCGCACCATCCACCCGCGTCTCCTACTCATCCGCCCAACGCTGTTTCATCAACTTTGCCTTAACGTACAACCCCCTGAACACGACAGGCTCCCCAATCCCTGCCTCCGAGATCACCCTTATGCTCTTTGCCACACATCTCACACACACCCACAAACCTCAATCTATCAAACTCTACCTTTCCGCCGTCCGCACACTACACCTTGAGCACGGTCTGCCGGACCCAACATCTGAGGCAGTCAACCTCCGACGCCTGATTCATGGCATCACACGGGTGCATGGCAACACCACCGACTCCCGGCTCCCCATCACCCCTTCCCTCTTGCGCTCGTTTCGCTCCTTCCTTAATCTCTCCTACCCTGACCACCTAACTCTTTGGGCCGCCATACTACTTGCCTTCTTCGCCTTCCTCCGCAGCGGCGAGCTCCTCTCACTCCACCGCAGTGACCTGCACAGGACAGCGGACGGGTTCCAGGTGCACATCAAACAGTCCAAGACGGACCCGTTCCGCTCTGGAGCTGTTGTCACAGTGCTCCCATCTGGCGACCCGTCCCTCTGTGCAGTCACTGCCCTGGATTCCTACCTAGCGACCCAGGGCCCCACAGAACGTACTCTGTTCCGCCTCCAGACAGCTGCTCTCACACGCCAGAGACTCAACAACCTAATCAGAGACCTGGCCTCGCGGTGCGGAGCCGAGTCACAGCGGTACTCCTCCCACTCCTTCCGCATCGGAGCTGCCTCAGCAGCAGCCGCAGCTGGCATTCCAGATTGGAGGATCCAAGCCCTGGGCCGCTGGAGCAGCGACTGCTACCGGCGCTACATCCGCCTGCCGAGCAGCGAGACCAACGGCGTCGCAGCAGCACTAGCAGGAGCTCCACTATAATTCACAACCAAGTAAGCTCACTAAAGCCGGACCCTAAATGTTTGGGGCAGCACCTATCTAACAACCTATACCCCTCCCTATACATGCCTATGGCTTTCAGGGACAGCCTATCCTCGTCTCCAGAGTGGCACTCAGACTGTCACCTGTAACGAGACGCATTCCCTCCTCGTCTCCAGAGTGGCACCCAGACTGTCACCTGGAACGAGACGCATTCCCTCCTCGTCTCCAGAGTGGCACCCAGACTGTCACCTGGAACGAGACGCACTCCCTCCTCGTCTCCAGAGTGGCACCCAGACTGTCACCTGGAACGAGACCCACTCCTTCCTCGTCTCCAGAGTGGCACCCAGACTGTCACCTGGAACGAGACGCATTCCCTCCTCGTCTCCAGAGTGGCACCCAGACTGTCACCTGGAACGAGACGCACTCCCTCCTCGTCTCCAGAGTGGCACCCAGACTGTCACCTGGAACGAGACGCACTCCTTCCTCGTCTCCAGAGTGGCACCCAGACTGTCACCTGGAACGAGACGCACTCCCTCCTCGTCTCCAGAGTGGCACCCAGACTGTCACCTGCAACGAGACACACTCCCTCCTCGTCTCCAGAGTGGCACCCAGACTGTCACCTGGAACGAGACGCATTTTCGCCGTGCCCAGCTCTGCCAACACTCGGCACCTGGCCGGCCTTAGGCATTCCCCTCGCTCCCAGCTCTGCCACTCAGCCTGGCACCTGGAGCCGAGACGCACTAACACCGTGCCCAGCGCCGCCATCCTCGATGGCACCTGGCCGGTCACAGAGCTGCCCCTACAGGTCGGGTTCGACCAAACAAGTAGAATAGGTTTGCCTCACATGGACTGCTATTACGCGAATGATTGTTTTAACCCAGCTTTAGGCACCAGCAAAAGGAGCAAAGGTTAATCTACATAGTTGTCTGAATGAGAAAGTTTGTTTATGTACTACAGTATGACCTATTAATCTGGATTTCATGCTCCCACTATGAAAAAGTTATGTACTACGTAGTAGTGTGTGTGGCCATTATTCATTGCAGGCAAAGAATTGAACAAGAAGAGCTAGACTGTGTTATGGAAGCTTGTGATATGGTAGGTTGTACTGAGTAACTTGCTGTCACAAAAAGTAATATCTGTTAATGTAACCAGCTTGTAGTTCTTGCTCAGGTGTATGAATATCTTAATCCGGCTAAACCGGCAGTATCAGGACTCTAAACAACTTGTACTTCGAAAGTAATAAGGACCACACTAGTTTTGCATAAAGAAGGAGAGGGTTCAGTGGGCAGAGGAAGAAATGTCCGTGTCACTTTTTACGGCATGATGCATACTCCTCAGCACAGTGCTTTGCTTGGTTAGTGTTTCTTTCAAAGCTATTCTCATGCAGGGGCGACGCCCAATTTTTTGGAATACGCCTGCACGTACTGTAGGACGCGGAGAAAGCCACTGCGCATAGCGGAGACGAACCGTTCGCTCCCGGTGAATTCACGCACTGATTTTTGCTCCCATAGAGAATGTATGGAGGAGGAATATGAATATGCTAATAAGCTTGTAAAACAAGGGCAAAAATCCGAGAAAGATACCAAAAATCACTAAACATTACAAGCATTTCAGCTGTTCTATTGAAAAAAATAACTAAAGTAGTCAATCTTGCACCACACCCAAAAATTACACCCACCGTCATGCCACCCTTAATAGATTATGTAGAGGGTTAATGGAAGGTGGAAGTTGTTGATATATTGTAAGGTCTGGCAGTCAAAAGTTTCATTTTCATGCTCACATATGTTGGCAATAACTGGAAAATAGTTTTCACGTCATCCTTCGTCTAACTTTTTGATGGATAATACCTCTGTATACTAAGAGAATGTTTATTACAAGTATTTAAAAATCCTAGCCTTGTTCCCAGCCTCCCCCTCTCCTCACACACAGCTTATGCATGCTGAGCAAAGCCTTGTGGGGATGAATCTCATTAGTTCAAAACCACAAGTGCTGCACTAAACTTTGCCTTTATAAACTCGTGATGCCAGAGAGAGAGGTTGCATTATACTTTGCTGATGAGGGCCAACAAGCCCGAAACAGCCATCCAGAGCTCCGCATCTTTTTTTCTCTTGGCATCACATGGTCATGTGACCTTTGACACTAATGTAAATGTGTATGTTGGGGACCGATTAAAAACCCAGCCCGTTTTAAAGCTGTCTGACAGCTTTAAAACGGGATCGGATGGCTTTAACTCCGGCCGTTTTCAAGCAGACCCAACACGGTAAACTGTTACACTCAGGATGACCCGTCTTAAAACAAGCTTTAGATTTTTAATTGGTTCCCAACATAATATATATGTTACTTTATCCTGTATTGTTCTTATGCAGGCTTTAATATTGAATGAGAAGAAGTTAAAGATCTTGGGTTATGTGGAATCACGAATGTCATTTATTGCACCAAACGTGTCAGCCATTGTTGGTTCTACAGTTGCCACAAAGTTGATGGGTATGGTAAAATTGTAGTGATTGAGAGGGGTTGGTGCTATATATATCATACATCTGCATTGTAGTGATTGAGAGGGGTTGGTGCTATATAAAAAAATCCTGCGGATTAAAAAAAAGAATGCATATAGGGATGATATAAAAAGAAAGGGAGACAAGATAGGGATGGTGTTTGTGGAAGCACAGAGATGCTAGCGAGGAGTTAAGGACTCCCACAGGTCATTACAACAGCCCTATTATCTTCGTACCGGTGCTTGGCCACGGAGAAAAATCTTCCTCGCATAAGTATCAGCAACCCTGCATACTTGAATTTGGTTTTCTCGTATTATATGTATGTTTTCCATGTAATGATGTTGTGCATGTACATTGTTTTGGTCAGCTGATTATTACGACAGTACACATAACTGCTCGCACCTTGATGTGCATACACTCCATGGGAATGTAGCATGACAGATCGATGAAATGTACACAACGATCATTATTAAGTAATACAGTACTTAGCAATACTCTTTCATAACCTTCACTCCCACCGTACGGCGATATAGGGCTGTTGTAATGACCTGTGGGAGTCCTTAACTACTCGCTAGCATCTCTGTGCTTCCACAAACACCATCCCTATCTTGTCTCCCTTTCTGCACTCTTTTTTTAATCCGCAGGATTTTTTATTGACTTGTCTCCACTCATTTTTATATACTACTACGTATTATCTCTGTGGAAGGGGGCAAGCCCCTATAAAAATTAATAATAGAGAAAATGAAAAGCACTAAAGTGCAAACCCTCGGCGAACTGCGCATGTGCGGTACCACTAATTGATGGGCTGGGCTTTTTATGCCTTTACTCGTGGTATCCCGCTAGTAGCTCGCGGAGAGTCTGGCACGGGCTAGCTACAGTAGTAAATAGCATGCGGGAGTCGATACATGCCCTTCGTTGTGACTTGTTGTGCCTTCAAGACACACAGAGCGAACGGACTCGGTCGAGGTAAGCCTGTGCTAATTTACATATTGGCTTGTTCACTTGGTTTTCACGCCATAACTTTAAAACACAGTAGTTTTACGAAAATCGCCTTTTTAAAAATCATCCCAGTGTAGCACTGAACCCGATCATATCGCTATTTACCTGCTTTCGTGCCCGCGGTGGCAGAACACGTGGTAACAGACAGACTGACAGACTGACTGACAGACTGACTGACAGACAGACACACTTACGGGACAACTACCGTAACCCTCGCTGCGCATGCGCGCCGAGGGTTAAAAATGCCTGTTGTTGTCATGGAAATAATATGCATACCATGTTTCATCTCCATGTGTGCTGCTGTTAGCAAGTTTGAGGAGTGAAGAAGTAATTTTGAAGAAAAGTGCCTGAGGCTATTTGTCGTTGTGGTCGTCATAGAAACGATGTAATACACATGCGCATCAAGTTTCACCTCCATGCATGCTACATTTAGCAAGTTTGAGGAGTGAAGAAGTAATTTTAAAGAAAGGTGTCTGAGGCTATTTGTTGTTGTGGTCGTCATGGAAACGATGTAATACACATGCGCACCAAGTTTCGCCTGAGGCTATTTGTTGTTGTAGTCGTCATGGAAATGATGTAATACACATGCGCACCAAGTTTCACATCCATGCATGCTACAATTATCAATGTAGAGGAGTGAAGAAGTAATTTAAAGAAAATTGCCTGAGGCACAATATGTGGTCGTCATGGAAACATGTAATCGTCATGGAAATGATATAATAGGCATACGTACCAAGTTTCATCTCTATGCGTGCTACCATTGGAAAGTTTGAGAAGTGAAGAAGTTAATTTAAAGAAAAGTGCCTGAGGCTATTTGTTGTTATTTACAAACATGTATTGTTGTGATTTTGAGGTTGGCTATTGAATACATTGTGTATACAAACTTTCGCTCCCATAACTCTTACCAATTGTAAGTTACACTGACACATGTAGTATGCCCATTATAATGTATTGCCTGGGGCAATTTTGTTGTTGTTTACAGTAAACAACATTGTTTACAAGCGAAAAAAGTATGACGTTGCACATGTGGTTATCAATATGTACATTCCTACAAAGTTTCATGGCTTTATCTCTTTCGGTTTGAGTTATGCTGGTTGAACAGGAAGAAGAAGAAGAAGAAGATGTGACAAGATGAACAAAACTCCCTATCATAGCCCCATACATCTATGATGCTAGGTACCATGTCAATCCCTAGTACTTAGTGATCATACAGTTGCATAGACTCTAAGGGCAGGTGAATTAGAACGAACCAACTGGGTGTTTGAGGCCTGGCATGTAGCTGCCGTTCTACAGACCTTTTTTCTGTTATACACATGCACGTATGATGTTAGCGTAGAAGAAGACATGACAATTAACTGTCATTCAGGCAGAGCTAATGTGATGTGCTATTGCAGAGTGTGTGTTCTTATAAGAAAGGTAGTGTAATAAAGTGACAGATCATCAAAAACATCAGTGGAGCAATTTACTAGCAGACTAATTTTAGTTTTTTTGTGTGCAAATTCCACTAACTGTTTGTTGTTTGTATTGGGCAATTGTGGCAAGAGCATCGTCAAATGCATGTTAATCTTCTACATGCTAAAGCACTCAGAAACCCTGTTTTGTGGGAATTGCATCACAGCGATACCAGCGGCTTCAGAACAACGAGAGCAAAAGTTGAAGAGTTCACTCGTGTTTTGCGCGTATTACGTACAATATTACGTTAGCGACAGCGCCCCACCGATAATTATAAACATGTAGAAAATACCCGCATTGAAATGATTAGGTAAGCTCGCTTCGCTTTACAATAATATATATATACAGAGAGTTTTAGAGTTGCACTCCAGGCAACGATTTTGTGATGGGCTCGTGGATATCGATCTGTTTTAAACCATACTTCGTAAATCCCATCCTACCTTCGTTTTTCAAGATCTCTGTTTGTCAGCGTAAGGAGTGCATGTGAGCAATGGACTTTGAAATGTACAGCAGTGATTAACCCATGGCGTGCATGCGCAACGAGGGTATTTGTCTGTGTGTCTGCTACCACTTTTTCTGCCACTACGCGCAACAAATCGGCCAAAAAGCGATACCAACTGGTTCAGCGCTACACTGGCTTGATTTTAAATTTGGCGATTTTCGTAAAAGCACTTTGTTTGAGAGTTATGGCGTGAAAACCAAGTCAACAAGCCAATATGCTTATTAGCACAGGCTTACCTCGACCGGGTCCGCTCGCTCTGTGTATCTTGAAGGCACAAAAGTCACAACGAAGGGCGTGTATTGACTCCCGCAAGCTATTTACTACTGTCGCTAGCCCATGTCAGATTTTCTGCGAGCTACTAGCGGGAGACCACAAGTAAGCGCTTAATAATAATAATAATACTCAGGTGGCTGCCATAGCACTAGGGCCATAGACCACGCACCCAGAGCAATGGGCGGAACCGTTAAACAAACGAACATACACCATATGAACATGAACATGAGGTGTCTGTCTCACCTCCCAGACACCTCAACTCGCCCCTTCCACCAGCGACACCCTGCAGCTCCCCAGACGCAATCTGAGACTGGGTCTGTTGTACGCGGGGATTATCGCCGTATAACCTAACCTTCCTCCCAAACATCCAAAATATAACCTTTAACAAGGCCAAGCAAAGAACCAAATTTATCCTCCCACAGCTCACTACCCAATATAAAGGATGCTTTCCTGAAACTATCAAGCGACTGGAAATGCTCAAACCCATCATCCCAAATCTTCCCCTGCAGGGCAACTAAGAAATTGCTCCTAAGACTACTATAATTATGCTGGACACCCCCACAACACATGACTCACACTTTCACAGTCATCATCACACAACAGTCACTCCTTCATACCCTCCCTCCCCCTATGCCTACCCAGTTCCTCATTTAGCCCATGCGTGCCTGACCTGAACTTAAACATTAATCTAGATCACCTTTCCCATGCAAGTATATACTTTTTGAACTCTACCACCTTGTTAAATGTCTTATACAACAACAGCTTTACTTTGCTATTTAGCCCCTCTTCAAACTTTCTAATCTCCCTCTCATTAATACTGTCCCCTACTATAGACAGAAAGCCCTTCAAGGGGCAATCCTCATTTTGAATATCATGCAACCACTCTGCCTTGTCAAGACCTAACGACGAAAAGAGATCATCAATGACCTTACTCCAACACTTCCTCTGCCTGCCTCTCTATGGCTTAAAATTCCATTCCTGGTTAAAAAGCTTCTTTGGATACCTATCGCCTGGCAATGCCGCTAACTTATACCACCATTTCAACTTATTGTTATCCCTACGCCCTTGTAACGTATCAAGCCCCATATCCCCCCTAACGGCTTCATTACATGTCTTAGACGAACACCCAAGGATATGCTTAGCTTCTCTCAGCATCACGGACTCTAACGCAGCTGCCTTAGTCTTATTGGCTTCCCACACCTCACTCCCATACTCTAAATATAGGTTACACTATGCCCACGAGACGGTTTAGTGGACATACACTACGAGTGCGCAGCACGAGTAGTGTATGCACTAAACCGTAGAGTGGGTGTAGTGTAACCAATTTGTACGACAGGAAGGCGCACTAAAACAACTTATTAGTATGCATGCCATGGTGTATGAGAGCTCATACACCACATGTGAGTGTATGGCTGAGTCAGCACACCATACACCATGGCATGCATACTAATGAGTTGTCTTAGTGCGCATACACTGCGTGCGGTGCCTTTGATTTCTAGGGCTTCTGTGGTACAAAGTTGGCCTAACCACCGCCAGCAACAACAACCTGCGAGCACTCAAATTAATATCCCTATTACTAATTACACTATGCAACTGATTAACCTTCCTTCTACCATTGTCTAACACATTCTTGATATGCACATCCCATGCACCAGTACGAGTAAAATCAACACCCAAGTATATACTTTTGGCAAAACACACTCCCCCTTCCTTGAGGAACATCAATTAGCGGTACCGCACATGCACAGTTCGCTGAGGGTTTGCACTTTAGTGCTTTTCATTCATGTAGTGAGGGTTTTGCATACAATTATGCCTATGGGGTAATCCTAGCATTAAAACAATAGAACGGGCACCTAGAGTAATGGGCGTATACGTGCCATTACTGGTGTCTGTCTAACAAACTACTCACTATTGATTCAAGCAAGACACAATCTTTTGAACATTGGGGTTTTTCGAACTAATTGTTAATAGTATTTTCATTTTACGTTACATATATTATAGGTCTTGCTGGAGGACTATCAGCTCTCTCTAAAATTCCTGCGTGCAATATGCTTGTAAGTCGTTTATAAAGGAAGTAGCTATTGCAGGACTTTGATACCACCGTGTCACAGGCTTATGGTAATGTTGAGTGTGGGTATCTGTGTTGAAGGATGGTAACAAAGCAGGGCAATAACCTTTACCAGTTGAGTTGCAAAAGTTTGTGTCTGTACTTCAGAGGTTCTAGACACACTTGAAAACATATGGTATAGCATTGTAAAATAAAACTTCTTTTAATGGTGTGTTGTCAACTTGCTCTATATTCCATGATTCCATCCTAGTTACCCTCGGCGCGCATGCGCAGCGAAGGTACGGTAGTTGGGTCTGTGTGTCTGTCTGTCTGTTACTCAACATCTCACTTCTCCAATGTTCGTTCGTCTCACAAACGATACAAATTACTTAAAGGCAATGAAGGTCAGAAATTTTGAGCGGTTTTCTCTGAAAATGCTGCGTTCGAGAGTTACAGCGTGAAACACAAGCGAAAAAGCCAATATGCAAATATATCACGGCTTACCCCAGTCTGATCCGCTTGCTCTGCGTACCTCGGAGGCAGCAGAAGTTGCAACACAGGGCGTGTATCGCCTTCGCATGCTATCAAATAGTGTAGCTAGCTCATGTCTCACTCTCCATGAGCAGGCAAGAGACCACGAGTACAGAGGTATAACCCAGCCCATCAATTAATGGTACCGCGCATGCATTTACGTACGCGTAGTGCGCCAAGGGTGTGCACTTCAGTGCATTCATTGGTCAAAGGTACCCTTGAGTGCACGATGGATGATCATTTAAAATCCTTAGCATTTAACCATGCTTCCAGAGCTCATCAGTACTGTAGTATGCTTTGCATGCATGCATACTAGCAACCACAAGCACCACACGCCACTAGATGGGGTAATGGTAATCCAAGGATGCTTAACACGTGCAGAACTGGGGAAAGCATTCATGGTAAAATGAATTTCTAGGCACATCTAGATTTCAGTTTTGGTGTTGCTGTGAATTTTCAGGTAGAAGTGTGTTGTGTTGTTTATGGTTGTTTCAACACAGGTTATTGTCCTGCTGTAGGTACTAGGTGCCCAAAGAAAGACTCTGGCTGGTTTTTCATCAGCAGCAATTCTTCCACACACTGGATTTATTTTCTATTCCGACCTTGTTCAGAGCACACCACCAGTAAGTGCTTAGTTAAGTACCTGCTTGATAAACATACGGGTGCGAGTTTATTGTAACAGACCTAAACTTTAGTGCAAAATGTTTGCTGGTGGGGGACCGTGTGTGGGATGTCCAGCATTGCCATCAAAGGCATTCGACCTTGTCAGCCATCGCTACGTAATGTTCAGCCACGTCCTGGCTGAACTGCACCTTTCCTGCTCTTCAAAAACTGATGCTTACACTAATGCATTACGATTAGCACATTCTGGCATTAAACCCAGTTACAAGTTTTGGGATCCACCCTTCAACAGTTTCAGGAATATTTTCAGATGTGCTTTATGTGCGCTTGAAGTTTCTGATCATGTGGCCAGAGAGGCACGTTTTACGTAAGACACTCCCCATGGATTTCTGCCCCAACTGTTATTTTATTTTATTGATCGACCATGTGACCTATTGGCAAGAGCACAAACCTACTCAACATACAAGCACCATAATGCTATCAAGTACTTGATTGGTGTCACCAGGGGGTAGTGGAAGCTTTATTTCAAAAGAGTTGGGCAGGAGGAGTGAGTGATATGTACATTACTGAAAACTCACATCTACTTGAAAAAATACTACATGGACACACAATTTTAGCAGACCGTGGATTTGATGTTCCATTAATTTTTCCCTCCATAAATGGAAATGGCAGGTTTTAGGTGCTCCATGTGTAGTCACTTCTAAAATTCAGAGTTAGGCAATCCAGTACCGTAGAGCTGGGCTGTAATAGAACACTTCATCTTGCCATCATCCCCTTTCTCTATGTGAGATTTGTCATCACAGGAAACAGTCTTCGTAGCGCCATTGTCTTTGTAACAAAAGGGGCACTAAAACATCAACCGTCATGGTTACTTTTACTACATATTCCAGGTCCACAACATGACATTCCACGAGGCATCTGGTGAAGCTCCAGTATTAAGGATGTTTCATACTAAGTGATTGAGACGCTATGATCTTCTGCTCTGTGCCTCTAGTACTGCTTAAAAGCACCCCTTTAATGCTGACACCCCACACTGTTTCTGTATTTTGTTTTTCTGGGTGACATTATTGCATGATAAGGCTATTGATATGATCTATCAATGTGACACACGGGCTTAAACCTTGATGCTGTTACCCTGCCAGTCCGAATTCTAAACCAAAGCCTAGAATGGCATTGCTCTCTTTTGCTTAGTTTAACTGCTTTTCTCTGGTCATTGCAACAGTCATAGTTGATAGTTGAAGCAATTGATGGTATCCTAGATGATGATTAGCGTCATTGAGGTCAGAAATAACAGGAGGTTGGTCAGGATTAAGAGCAGATGGAATGTAGCCATCACAATAACCTGACACGAGATGAAACTGCTGGTTTTGATAATATACAAGAAGCAAATAATTAACTGTGCTTCATTGCTCCTATACCTACAGACATGCTGAATAGCATTGCGACTGGGAGAATGGGTTGGCCTGGCCCCTTGACCGCACCTTTGCCTCTGCCCCCAGGGGTTTCCCCTTCTGACACACCCCTTTTTTCGGCACCCGCTGCACCAATATTCTATTGAGGGGGTGAGGCGTGGTCTTTGCCACGCCCTACACCAACCCGTCATGCTAACTGACCATCTCAGTCAGCAGAGCCAGCAATACTCATAGGCCTCTTTGGCCCTACCCACAAGAAGGAAAAACAAACCAAAAACCCAAAAAAATAGATTTTCGCTCAGCTGGGCTCTCGCCACCTCTCAACTGCTGCCGAGTAGCCTGGTGCGCATGCGTGTGCCGCATGCGTCCCTCCCACATTCTGCCACTCTTCGCCAGTTAACTTGGTTTAATAGGTTATTAACCCTATTTAACTGTGCTTCATTGCACCTATACCTACAGACATACTGAATAGCATTGCGACTGGGAGAATGGGTTGGCCTGGCCCCTTGACCGCACCTTTGCCTCTGCCCCCAGGGGTTTCCCCTTCTGACACACCCCTTTTTTCGCCACCCACTGCACCGATATTCTATTGAGGGGGCGAGGCGTGGTCTTTGCCACACCCTACACCCAGGACACCGTCGCCCCCAAGCCAACTCCCAGCCCCCAGTCCTGCATTAGCTACCTACGCTCAGCCCACTCTTCCTCCCCCCCTCCCCACCGAAGGGAAAATTCTGACAACATACATAAAGTGAAATTGGGAAGGACATACAGTATACGGCCATGAGGACTAAGACACAGGCTTTGATGTGATGCGTGCTAGGGGAATGTCTTAGGACCCGTGACAACGACCTAGGGACCAGTTGTCTAGACTTCTGCTCCCGCCAGACACTTGCTGATCTCCGACAGTTGAGGATCCGGGATCCGAATGTACAACTGGTAAGCTTGGCTCCTCCATCTCCCTAGCGTTTTAATGACATCAACTGGAACACCGCACATTGCTGTCGTGGCCGCTCCAATGCGGAAGCTGTGCCCCCCATATTTCTCTGGGTCCAGGCCAGCCCATGACAGTGCTCTCCTTAAGCGGGATACCAGCTGCGCCCGCATCAGAGGTCCGCCTCCTCTTAGGTGGAAGAGGGGACCATCCTCCTTGCCCCGCATCACCAGGTAGGAAAGAAGAGCGGCCACTGGGCAGAGTTGCTGACCAGTTTTACTGAGGCAGATTGTTATTCCCTTGCGAAACGGGTCTGTCTTTGACTGCTTGATCCGCAGGAATATTCGATTTGGATGCTTGGGGTCGTCCACTGTCACATCCCTGAAGGACAGGTGCTGGTTTGGGTCAAAGGCGCCTGAATCCGAGACGACCAACTCCCCAGACCTGAAGAACCCAACACAACACACTGCCCACATCATAACTATGTCTGGGTCCGAAGCTTCCAAGGACCACACGTCCCGCAGCCGAGAGAGCACCCGTGGGGTGATCGGGAGGCGTGTGTGTTTTGCTGCGCCAGCCTGCTCCCGTTTTGCCCCCCGGAGAGCTAGCTCCAGTAGGGGCATGCTTTCCACCCTGGGATCCCCACCTCCGCACTCGATCTGAAGGTGACGGGTGGCCGACAGGTATGATTTCATTGTTTGATGTTTGAGGCCCTGGTTAGCTAGGAATGCAGTAAACTTCACTAGTTTTTGTTCTGTCGCTGGTAGAGGGGGGGTGTCAAATGCTCGGCAGAAGGCCAGGTACTTCCTTTTACCCGAAGCATATACCCGTTGGGTGGACTGGGCTAAACCAGCCTGCAGCAGGCGCTGAACAGACGCACCCAATGAGACGACGTCCAGTCTGGTTGCTCTCTGACTGTGAGCTCCACTAGTGGCTCTGGGATTGGGGTTGGTTGACTCTCCGCCTCCGGCACCACCTGCATAAAGATGGGGATATTGTCACGTGACAGGGCGTCTGCTGCTGTGTTCTCTGCCCCCGGTACATGCTCTGCCCGTACATTCACGCCGAACTTAGCTCCCACAAAGAACACACACCGCAACAGATGCATAAGGATGCTGTCCTTTGCCCTGCCCGAATTGACTACTGACACGACTGCCATATTGTCGCAGCGACAGGTGATTCGCCTTCCCTGCCACCGCCTTCCCCACACCACCAGAGCAAACAAGATGGGTAGTAGCTCCTTGTGCGCAATGCCCCACTCCACCACTTGGCCTTCCCACTTCCATTGGAACCACTTGTTCCCCCAGCGAGCCCCGCAGCCCCATCCACCTGACGCATCGGTCTCCAGGGGCGGCACTGCCGGCTGGGAGCTGGCAGTATCGAAATGCCATTCCATTCCTCGATGAAGGAGTGGCACCAGTAGATATCCAAGCGTGTCGATTCATTTAGTCTGATCCAGTGGGACTTGTTTCTGAAGGTAGACACGAGCTCGATTAGCCGCCGTACGAACGTGCGGCCTGGCCGGACAACTGTAGCCGCATGTTGAAGGTGACCTAGAAGCGATTCCAACTCCCGCTTTTGGCAAGCTTTTCTCCTCAGCCATCCGTGGATCAGCCTCTGGATACGCTGCAGCTTGGCCTGTGGTAAGCGAACCTCCATTGCCCTCGCGTCCAGCTCGAAGCCCAGAAACACGATCGACTCCGATGGGCCTGCACATTTCTCCGGAACAACTGGGACTCCCAATCTCCGGCAGGAGGTGAGCATCACCTCCAAGTTGCACGCACACACCCCCGAGTTTGGTGGGCCAACAGTTATAAAATCATCCAAATAGTGGGCTACCCATGACACCCCTTCCTCCAAAAATGGCCATTGCAGCGCATCGGCCACCGCAGTAAAAATGTTCGGTGCCGACCTTAGGCCGAATGGCAACTGGGTATCAAAGAAATAACCTCCTGCCCATCGCACTGCCAGCAGGGGCCTATCGTCGGGGTGGATGGGTACCATGCGGTATGCACTCCTGATATCTAGCTTGGCCAGAAGCGAACCCCTGCCGCTCCGGGCAATGCGGTCCGTCACCTCGTCCAAACGCAGGTAGGTCATGGAGCACAACTCCTGGTTGATGCCAACATTCACACTGGCCCCCTCTGGGCTCGACAGGTCAACGATCAGCCGCCATTTTCCTGGCTGGCTGGACTTCGGGATGACCCCGAAGGGGCTGACCTGGGTGCCTGGCGGTATTGCCTCCTGGCCCACTGGACCAATGATCCTGCCGAGGGAGATCTCTTTTGAGAGGTATTCCCAGACTACCTCCGCGTTCTCCAGGGCTGATTTCATATTGGTGGCGGCTGGGCGGCAGGCAATGCTCCGGTCAAAGCCAATGCGGAAGCCATTGCGGATGCCATTGAGGATGTAGGCCCTGAACTCATCATCTGGGTGGGTCTCCAGAACCTTGTTCCACTCTGAGAAAGTCAATGGCGTAGCAATCCTCCGCAACCAGTTTGGTGCTGGGCTATCTCCTGTCTTCTGCTCAAACTCCCACAAGTCGTGAGTGTAGGGGTATATGCCTGCACCTGCAGAGTTATGAGGAATTATGCAGACTCGACCTCCAGCTCGCGTGGGGCCCTGCTGGCTACCCTCGCACCAGCCCTGCCCCCTATGCCACGTGATATGCATTGTTTATTTATTTATCATAGCATAGACAGAACATGGTAATGTGTTACTGGTAATAAGGTGTTACTGGTAACTATAACAAGACTGAGGTACGGTGCAACTGGCAGTAGTTCACGGGACTGCGGGACCCGGGCCTCCGAAGCGTTAACTACCTCCTCGTGGCTGGCGCCGAGGTATAGTCGGGGGGAGCCCAAGCCGGGTTGGCGGGGCTATCGGACCGATATGGGCATGCTATCCGCCCATGCTCGTCAGTCGCCCCGCAGCTGGTGCAACGATGGGTGAAGATACAGTCCTTCCCATATGGGCAGCCGTTGGGGGCTGTGTTATGCAGCCGGCACACCTCCTTTTTGGCTTTTTTGAAAAGTTGTTTTGCTGGGGGATTCCCCTTCTCTCCTTCCTGCTCCAGTGGGCGTTTTCCTTTTCCTTTGTACCGGCCTTCCGGCTCCTGCTCTGATACGTCAAACGGATCATTCGACGGGTGATCCGACGGTAGGCATGAGAGGTACTGCCATGGGTCCCCACATGACCATGACCGGTCTGGTGACGCTGCTATCTCCATTCGAAACTGTACGTCATACTCCAGCCACGCTAGCTGGTAGGATGCCTTCTGGTGGAGGCGTAGTACCGTGTGGAGGTGAGCCACCATGTTCGGCACAACCTCGGCTTTTTTCTTGGATAGAACCGCCATGTATAGCGTAAAGCAACGGATCCAAGTGGTGATGTCAGCCACACGGCGTTTGGCCTTGTGTTGTTGCAGTGCTTGAAAATGGCTCAGGGCTCCTACCAAGCTGTCCTGCAGAGACGAGGCCTTTGGGCTCAGCTCGGCTAAACGTAGGACTCTCGGAGCTGGGAGAAACTCCTCCATATCGACGTACTCGAGGTTCCAGACCTTCTCCGCTAATTTCATAGGGATTGTTGGGAGGCCCTTAACCACCAAGTATCGCGATGGCTTGTCCCCTACCGGACTGTCCTGTGATGAGGCACCTGAGGCTGATGTCAGCAGTGGGATAAGTGCAGCAAATGCGTTTGCCGCACTGTCTGACTCGCTTCCTTCCTTGCCCTCTTTGTTGCCTGCTTGCTCCAAACCGAGGTTGGATACCACGTCCGCTGGAGGCATACTCCCCAGCTCCACACCTGCATATTTTTAATGAGGGGTTCAACCCTGGGCGCCCGCTGCACCCCCGCCCCCCAGCCCTGCGCGCGCCTGTATACCAACACAGCACTCACCTTTTGCGGCGGCCGAGTCGCTCCCGCCATCTGGACGAGGGGTTCCACCCTTCGGGAGAGCTTCGTTCAGAACGCCCCGCACCACCGCTGCGATTGTGTCCAGCTGGGCTTGAGTGAAGGTACCATCCGGCCCCCCTTTTTCGCTCGGACCTGGCGTCTCCTCGGTCATCTCAGCTTGTCTCCACGCTAGGCTCTCGTCCGTCAAAGAATGCCTTAACCCGCCGAGCGAGAAAGAAACAACCGAAAAAAAGAGTTTCACTCAGCTGGGCTCTCGCCACCTCTCAACTGCTGGCCACGTGTAGGAGTAGCCTGGTGCGCATGCGTGTGCCGCATGCGTCCCTCCCACATTCTGCCACTCTTCGCCAGTTAACTTGGTTTAATAGGTTATTAAACCCTATATTCAAAGATCTCTTTCTGTTCTTCTTCAGTTAGGTTAGAGATCTCTCTCTTTATGCGATTGTCTGTCTACTTCAAAGTTAGAATAATATGCATGCGCATGTGTACATATGTGGTTCCTGGCCATAGATCGATATCGTGTTTCCACTCATTCCTTTTCACTTTGTGTGGATCAATTCCTTTAACTAATTTTAAACTTTTCACTGTATCTTCTTTTACATTTCGGAGTAGCCTGGCGAGGAGGCATAGCAGATAGCAACGGTTGTTATGTAATTTATGCGGATGTGGGTGTGGCTGTGATGGGTATATAGGCCGCCTCTTAGCCTGTAGATAATAATTGCAGACAAACAGACAGACACACACAGCAGACTATAACCCTCACTGTGCATGTGCACACCCAGGTACACCCATCACTCAAACACTGAACTATGACTGCCTGAAATAATGTTAAGACGTAAAGTTTGTTGTTTAAGTTGTGTGTGCGTGCCTAGCAGTTTTGTGTGGCAGTTGTTGCTTAGTGCTTGGGCACTGTTTTTTCTGTACCGGTCTCTGAGATGGACTCCTGACAGTTCAGTTGTCCTAGCTAGCAAATCTTGTTAATGTAGTTTATTTGCTGTAACAAACAATTTCTGCCTGTACATCATTTAACCATAATCTTTGGTGTGTACAGTTGTTTAGTCCGCTTAATTGTTTCTGTTTGGCAGGATGTCCGTAGGAAAGTGGCACGTGTTGTTGCAGCAAAATGTACTCTAGCTGCTCGTGTTGACAGTTTTCACGAGAGTCCTGAGGGAGATGTTGGACAAGGTATATATACCTCTACAAAATGTATCAGTAATAGCTACTTGTTATAGCATGCCTAGGAGGTGTATGTATGCTCAATAGAGGGGCGACTAGGCATGCTATAATTGATTTATTGCCAATTATGATGTCAAATTCCGCAATTACCGAGTAACATGACGTCGCACGGCCATTTTCAGTTCTAAAATGAATAATGGTTGACAAAACAGGGATGTCGCATCTATACTTCCCTCTCAAAAGTACAGGTGAACATCAAGAATGCTTTCAGACCTAGAGGAGTGAGCGAATTTGTCTTGCCACCGAAGTAGAAGCACTGGAAATAGCCAACTGTGACTGTTCACTGCTGTACTAAGTTACTCATAATCCGCTTCATGTTGTAAGGGCACCGCAATTCAAGAGGAGAGCAGCAAGTGTGCTGGCCATCTGGGGAAGAAGTTTGAACGTGCCCTGGAGATGGTTGTGAACCTGGTCTGGTCTGGTCCATTCAGTTTCTCACTGTAACACTGTCTGGTTGCTTTAGTTAGCCTAGTTCCACAGCTCCCCTCAGAGAGACTAGTACAGATGCGGCCCCCGCTCTAAAATTGTGCCCCGAGTAGTGGAAAGTGTCCACCCCCGCCCGGGCTAGAGCTTGTCTGACAGCTTTCACCAGTCTGTCCCTGGTTAGTGGGAAACCATCCATATAGACGAAAAAGGGACCAGGCACTGATGGACGTATGGAGTAATACGCCATGATGGCAGCTACCGGGCAAAGCTCTGCATTGGTTCGACCTAGGAAAGTGTCGACTCCATGTCTAAATGGGTCAGTGTTGGATCTTTACCATAGAGGGGTTTGTGTGATGGGGGAGAGGCATGTGTCCAGGTCAACCGCCTCAGCTGACTTTACCGTAAACTCCCCTGCTCTCATAAACTCGAAAACCCCATGCAGCAGGCAGCCCAGAGCATCATTGTGTCCTGATTGAAGGGCCTGGCTGCCCATTGGGTTTTAATTGTCCGTAACAAATGTAGGGTGATAGGGAGTCAAGGGCGGGAGGACTTGTCTGGGTGCTCGCTTGACGCCTCGTAAGACATACTGGAGACAAGGAAATGACCCAGGAGTGAAGGGGTCACCGTGGCCTGCCACAATGTGGAAATGCCTGACTGCAGACAGGTACGACTTGATAGTCTGCGGGACCAACACTGCTGACGCCACAAACCGACATTCTCCAACAGACGTAATGGCTGAAGGCCTGCTTCCATGCAGAAACGTAGAAACCGCCTTTGACCTGACTGGTATGCTGAAGGTTGTGGGCACTAAGGCCTGTGCTCTAGAAACATTGTTCTCCAAGTTCGTGAGAGCCAGTCCGGGCGTTGATGGACTAGCAGCTGCAGGAGTGCTGGTGTCAGTGGGGATAGCGAGGGGTTGGACATTGGGAAAAGACTGGTAAGTTGTCCCTGGTTAATGCGTCTGCTGCAGTATTATTTAATGCCTGCTATATGTCTAGCTAGGAGGCGAATGTCGTAATGCGCCAGAAAGAAATGCGGACAGCGCAACAGGTGCATCAATACCGGGTCCCCTGCTGTGCCTGAGGTCAATGCGTCCACGACAGCTGCTTTGTCGGAACGCACCAGCACCATGGTTGACTGCCAGGGGGCCCCCATAGCGTGACCACCGGAACCAGGTCCTTGGCAGCAATGTGGCACTTTGCCCACTCTTTTGGCCACTGGATCTGAAACCATTCGCCGCTGGACCCAAACGCTCCACAGCCCCATGTGCCTGAGGCGTCTGCCGATACGACATGCTGAGGATCTGGTGGATGTAGCATTGACTTGCTGTTCCACCTTGGCAGAAAAGACGCCCACCACTCGCAGGTCCGATCAGAACTCCTGTGACAGTCTGACATGGTGATGCTGTTGATGAGCTAGCTTAGATAGGTCGATCATGCGACGGATAAAGGTGCGACCAGGTTGAACAACTGTGGCGGCGTGACTCAGATTGCCTATAAGAGACTGCAACTCCTGTTTCGTGGCTATCCGCTTGCTGCGCCACGAGAGGACTAGGCCAAGGAGGCGGGTTTACTTGTCTTCACCCAGACTGAGTTGCATGGTGACAGAATGCCGAGAAATGTTAGGCGTGTGGTGGGTCCTTCTGTCTTACGTGTGGCAACAGGAACCCCTAGCTGATGGCACACCTGCAAAGCTGTGTGCAGGTGATTAAAACACTCTTGGCTTGACGCCTCCTGAAGTGAGTACACAAGTGTGCGAGGGGGGTGAGTGCGTGTGGCGTGTGTGGGTATGTGTGAGGGTATGTGTGTATGCGTGAGGGTAGGACTGTGTGCGTGTGTGGTTGCATTGGTTACTGCTTGTCCAGTGGAATGGAGGACTGTGCAATAATTGCTAGTCTACTACGCGTGCTGTGTGGGCTTGCTTGCTGCTGTGGCTGACAGCTGACGCCACGACCAGGGTTTGCAACAGTCGGCCGGTGGCTGGCCTGTGGGGTGGCCGCCCCGGGGTTCCAGACCATGACTAGGCTTGTGGGCTGACGGTAACAAAGACTGTGGGCTGACCACCCAGACTATGCATTGCCTGTGGGCTGACTGCCAAGACTGTAATCAGGATACTTTCTGCTCGGTGGGCCAGTAGAGGTCGTAGAGGCCGGCACCGAGGAGGCCATTGTTGGCGAAGTAGCCATGGCCGCGGGGATCTCCTGCTGAACGATCAAGCTAACTGACTCCAGCTGGGGGGCGGGAGTAGTCGCCGGTGGCGGTCAGGGCGCGGAAGTAGTCGGCGTGGAGTCCGAGGCTGCAGAGGAGGACGGGGTTACGTCGATCGGCGACGCCATCACATAACAACTTTGACCACCACAACTGGCAGAGACACAGACTGACACGTGGCAACAGTGACTCAGCAATCCTCTACGCCCGGCTGTTACCATATATTTAATGCTAATACATTAAACTTCATTGCACTGTAGGGGTAAATGCGATTAGTGTGTGAGTCTGGTCGAAAAAATTAAACCTTAGGGGCATCTTACAGTTTAAACTTGGTTAGTGTAACTCTTCTTTTAAAGTCAACCATTACCTCAGGAAAAGTCACGAATTTATGTTAACTCTATTTACTGCACATTACTCCAATTACGGTCAGACACGCTTCTAGGGAACAGAATCTGTTTTCACTAGTGGGGTATACAGAGTTTCTTAAAACTCTCTAGGTTTGAATTTGCATTCATATACAAATTGCTTATTTGGGAGGGATTTCTATAATACTTACGTCCTCTGTCAGTGTAATACAGATTTCAGGATTTAAGAGTATTTCAAACTCTTGTTGCATGTTTGGTGAGGTTGTTCCCTAAGAATGGAAATAGCTGGTGTTTTTCCCTATTGTACATTTGTATTAAAGCACCATGCAAGTGTACTACAAGAATTAACGGTTACCCAAGTGTGTTATTGACTCTCAAGACAGCATATCGCTTTCAGTGGTATATAAGCGAAAACTGTGCTGTAACTGGTTTGCAGCAAGATTTCCAATGAACGCTCGAGCTCTCGTGCATCCATGGATTAGCGAACACTGGAGTAGCACCTGTGTTGTAGACCCAGGTAAGCTTTGTAGCTCAGACAGCCAGCATGTCAGCCTCGTGAGACCCTTCAATAATTTACCAGGTTTTCAATGAATTAGTATGTTGCCTTCGATATACCCGCACATCATGCTACAAACAGCACTGTAATTTTTGGATCTAGTTTGTGTGTAAGATGCAATGTGCACTCAACAACTTCTGGGTAAGATATGAGAATACAAAGGCCCACAGTTACCCGTTAACTACAATGAACTGCTTGGTTGAAATGGTACAATAATGAATGGTTGAGATTGTTTTTACCATATAAAATAGATTTAAGAGATCAAGTTCAGAAGAAGATAGATAAGATTTTGGAACCCCCTCCTGTGAAGTCAGCCAAGCCTCTTCCAAGACCAGATGATGCTCCTCGAAAAAAGAGAGGAGGAAGGAGGTATAGTATAGAATATTTAATATTATAATCCAGGGTAGAAATTTGTGTGGGGCATCTAAAAGAGGTTCTACTCATTTGTGCACAAGGCACATCCATATATATGCACTGGCCATTTAAATTCACTCAGCTATCACCAGTGGGCATATGTGTTTTAGGGTGCGGAAAATGAAAGACAGATACGCTATTACTGAGATCCGGAAACAAGCCAACAGAATGACATTTGGAAGTGTATGTTTAGTTAATACAGCATGTGGCAATATTGATAGGGTCTAACCACTCCAAATTCATATGATAACGTGTTGGCTGTCAGGGAATGGGTGGTTACGGATTGTACCATGCAATTTTTAACAGATCCAGGAGGATGCCTATCAAGATGATCTGGGGTTCAGTACAGGCCAACTAGGAAAAGGTGGTGCATCAGGCTCAGTACGTGCCCCCACTGCTGACAAAAAGACACAAGTGTCCATATCCAAAAGGTTACAGGTATGTATGTGATATTTGTTGTGACCAGTCATTTAAGACCCTCTTGGATCACACAGCGTGTGTGAGATTTCAGCTGTACATTATGTCTGCATATGTACATCATAATGGATTTTCTCTGTACTCAGCGCCAGATTCATACTGCTGTATTTGGTGGGAAGTCATCTGTAAAAGGTGCAGCATCTGGAACTGCTAGCAGTGTCGCATTTACGCCTTTACAGGTCAGCTTTAATAGAGAAACTCTACAGTTTGAGAATCATTCCTAAAGATGTATTGTTCCCATACCCCTGGGTGGTGACATTCCAAAGAGATTTCTTGGTCTGTAGCTTGCATTATTGTACTTTGCGTGGGCGGATCAAAGGCACCGCAAGTGCTTTTTTCATCGTAAAAGAACACTTTTGGTCATATACCACATAATATAGCACGGTATTGCTCATATAGCACCGTTTTCCGGATCAAGTGGAATATACAGCAGGAACGGCGGACGAACTTCGCGCATGCACTAATTAACTAGGATCACACCCACTAATGAACGGAAGGTCTTCCGAACCCCCTGCACCATTCACGCATGCGTGTAAGTTCTTCGCACATGCTGGAATGACCACACCCCTTAAGTATGACTCATTCGCGTATCAACCGGGCTATTGTGCATGCGCAACATTTTTGGAGATTTGCGCTGCAAAATCTGTGCTTCCGCGCACTTCAAACTATGCCTACATTTCTGGTATCTTATGCTTTCTCATTCGCTGCACCGTTTGCTTACCGTTACCGTACCTACTGTACTGTTTGTTTGCTTGCGACCAGATTTAGGCGGGAGATTATGAAACGATGACGACTTTCAGTTCGTGGCCAGACATACCGAGATGTACTAACCAACAGAGTACCCAGCGTGAAACTGATACACAAAGAATCACAATGGATTTCTCCTGATTCACATCTGATACTAGACACGTATATCCCACTCCACAATGACAGAATGGCTATCTTCTCTTCTGGTACACTTCTGATCACTTGACAATGACTTGAAAAACGGGGTGTGGAGGCGTTTTGCGCATGCGCGAAGTAGTTACACACATGCCATTGTGTGAACAGTGCAGGGGGTGCAGAAGACTTTCCGTTGATTAGTGGGTGTGGTCCTAGTTAATTAACGCATGCGCGAAGTTCGTCTGCCGTTCCTGCTGTATATTCCACTTGATCTGACCACCTCCGCTTCGAACCGGCTTTGTTCCTGGTCGTTGTCTTTGAATTGCCCACGATACAATTAAGGCACAAAAGGGACGTTCTGTACGCTCATAAAGGTGCTCGAGGCTGGTCTTGATAGGTCATAAAACACTCGGCTTCGCCTCGTGCTTTATGACATCTCAACCACGCCCTCTTATTTCACGTACAGCACTACCTGCCGTGTTTTAACTATGTAATGCACACCAATCAAATTACAATAAAATTACATCCCTGTAACGTTTTGTATGCGTAAAAGTGAGAGATTGATGAATTTCATACTCGATTCATAATCGGATTATAGGGAATGTTACAGCTTAACACAAAGAGAACAGAAAAGAAAGATTATTCTTCTTGCTTCACTAGACGAAAAGCACTAAAGTGTAAAACCTCACCCCAAACCGAACACGTACATGCTGAGTGTGAATGTGCACAGTAAGTGCATGAACACCGCTAATATTCTCACATTTTAACCTAAGACAGAGGCAGTTTCGCGCTCAAACACTGGCTGCATAAGTATAGACCAATGATAGACTTGATACTCACCCTATGTATAATTTCATTTATCCTCCATGGTGTGCTGAACCTGGCCAAGGTAAGCCATTGCTTCATTAAACGTATTGGCCTTTTCGCTTGTTTTCACGTAAACATTTTGTTTCTGGTCCATGTATTTTTCACGCCCTTGTAGCTACCTCGTAGCCTGTAGTACCTTTGACAGCTGCACCAAGGGATAATTAGAAGTAAAGGTCTACAAAAATAACGAGTTCTCCCAGGCATGAACTCACAGGTGTGGTCCATCGCTATTTTTCTGGTGCCAAAAATGGAAGGCATCACCTTTAAATGTAGGCTACTGTACAATGCAGTCCCCAGCTAGGTTTGCAATTGTCTACCCCAACTGACTCCGCTTCTTCTTAAGTTGTCCCTTGATGATCATAGGCAATATTCATCTTCCCCATCTCAAACACAGGGAAATTCCCTTTTTAAGATCAATGCCTATGTAACCCTTGCTATAGATCTGTATATACCTTTCACGCTTTAACTTATCCTGTTGTTGTTAAAGCCAGTGCATGTACTGCTGTGTCTGCCTATTGTATCAATACACTTAAAATCTACCGCTTGTGCAGGGCTTAGAGATTGTCAATCCAATGGCAGCAGAAAAACGGACACAAGAGGTATGTAGTATGCAATATTCACTGATGAAAATTCATGCAGTTTCATATATTATTGTTTCAGGGTAACAAGTACTTCTCCAATACTGCCAGTTTTAGAAGTGCAAAGACATCTTAAGTTCTGTTCTCTTATTATAATGGTGTCATAAAGTGCGCATTAACACTGTATGTTTTTAAAATTCTTTGTCTTCAATTTTAATTGTGTCCTAAGGCATGAATCGCAGGGTGTCAACCAATGCATTACCACATCCAGCACATTGCACATTGTCCAAGAAAAGAGCTGCCCTAGGTGGACTCAAACCCTACGCTCTGCTCTTTACACTGTTGAGGACCAGATGTAATACGGGAAAATTATGTAATTACCAATAGCTAAAATTAAACGAGTACACTGCCTTGATGTCCTATGTGGCTTCTCAGCTGTTACAGGATGTGGAGCACAGACAGCCTTTGTGATAGGTGGAATGACATGTTCCTAGTCATATCATACTATGTATACAGATTGTTTTGTTCCAGTCATTAACGGTAAACTTCTAAAATCGGCCAATGCCCATACATTTCGCCGCTGTCCACGAAATGTTTGCCATACCATCTTTCTCCCAGACAGTCTGGCTATGAGCTCCCAGGACAGTTTATCTGGCAAATACAACATACAAGAAGAACACTCCCAGCGGTGGTATCACTGGGCTCACTAGCTAGGCAAAATGTGCAACATTGTAATCATTTTTGTACACCTGTGGGTGTGTGTCTGTGCAAGTGAAGTACTATAAATACATGCAGGTCAGTTGTCAAAACAAAATGGCAGACCTGGCAGCAGTAAGCATAATGCACTCTACCTGTTCCAGCTAAGTGTCTCTTGTAGCCCGTGTCGTACGAGATGCAAGACTGAGAAGAGCGGACAGACCGATTATGTACTTACAAACCAAGTATATTAGTGCATGTGTGCCAGGGGTTAAAATGACTGACAGAATTGCAAGTGTAGCCTGATTCAGTGTGCACTGGCACCAGCCATACTGCTTGTTTTGCACAACTTATAATTGATTATTCCCAATTGGAAAGCAAGATACAAAGGCACAGTGAAGCAAAAAAGTGTGGTTTATTTGTTCTCCTCAACCATAAAGCTGCTTGTCCCTCTCTATTTCTTTGTGTCGCTTTTCCAGTGCTTTATTTCTTTTTTTGATGGAATCAATCTTCTTGTCTAGTTCTCGCTCATTCTCCTCTGACTTTTCCTGGAACAAATATACATACATACATTCATTTCTGTCTACATAATATCACATTATTGAAAGCACCTCTGGTTTCCTATGCTTCAGTGGTCTGTATTCGGGAGCATTGATCCTTTTAGTGATCCTCGTGGCACGGGCAGCCTCACGGGGAGATATTTCACCAGCCTGTTTCCTCCTTTTGTATTCGGCCGCAATGGCCAGTGCACTGCCCTTGTGACCACTGAAAGAGGTTTGCATACTTAAAACGGAACACCACATTTAAATTACAAATCAGTCATTTGTACTTGGATTTGCTATCACCCTATGTATATATAGCTTTTCTCAAATGCCAGCTTAACAACAGAAGATTGGAATTAGACACACTGCTGGAGCATGAACCAAATGCTCAGATGTAAAAAATTATGTACAGTGTATACTAACCTCCTTCCAACCCTGCCATGTAAACCGGGTGAAGGACCGAGTCGATTTGCAAGAGACCGAGGGAGCTTAGAAGATGTATCATCAGTGTGGCGACCCAAACGCCGCTTCTTCTCCTCTATAATTCAATCAGGAAAACACATTAACAAGCTATACCAATTTGACCCATAAACTAAACTTCAGTCTCTTCAACTGAATGTGCAATGTGCGAGAGTGTACTGTGCCATAGCACAGTGGTTTGAGGTGTGCCTTTGTGTTGTGTTGTAGATTCTAACCCCTACCAGCTGAGTTTCCCTGGTAGCTCAGTTGGTATATAGAGCGCTCGCCTAGACTGCAGAGTGTCGTGGGTTCGAATCCCACCCAGGGCAACTCTTCTTCTTTTCTTTTAAAAGAAGAGCTGTCCTGGGTGTAGTTGACTTGTTTGCCTTGCCTTGCCTTTCTACCTCGCTACGAAGTTGTTGAGACATACATTATGCATGTGTAATATACTACGGTACAGAGAAGTACGTATAATTATGGACACGTTGCAGGTGTAAAGGCATTACCTATAGCATTTTTGCTGACATAGAGCCTTTCTTTGACCGACAATTTGGTCTCATCTTTTCCCTGTTCTTTTTGTCGAGGACTACACTTTATCCTGGACTTCTTTCGATGAGGAGAAACACGTATCGGTGAGCTAATATGAACATCTCCCTTGTCTTCTCCATCTCCACTAGCCTCTTCATCACCACCAACTTCAAATAGAGAATCACCCCGTAAAAGGCTTTGTACAGGTGTGCTGTTATTGCATTGCTTGCCTTTGCCGTGTGATACAAGTCAAGAGGTATACAGTAATCAGGCTTCCATAGTGCTTTCATGCGGAGATTTACATCGTTCTTACTTTCTGTGGCTATGGTCTGTTCTTCAGTTTCTGTATCTAGCAAATTTTCATCATCGATGCTAGATGCCCTATCCACAACTTCATCTCCTTGAGGATCATCCCAGTTTACAGTACCTGCACACAGAGTATTTTTCAAAAAGTAGAAACTTCCCAGTTGTGAAAGCACTAATTGTTGCAATAAAGAGCAAACCCTCGACACACTGTGTATGCGCAGTACTGTTAATTGTGGGGTGGTATGTGTGTACTCGCAGTCTCCAACTAGTAGGTCGCGGAGAGTCTGACCCAGGCAAGCTAGCGATACCAGTAGGTAGAATAGGTGACTCGATACTCACTCTCTGTTATAACTTCTGCCTCCAAGGTACACAGAGCAAGCGGATCAGGACGAGGTAAGGCTATTATGCATATTAGCTTCGCTTGTAGCTAACATCAATTGCACACATTCGTTTTGTGGTACTGTGTTTACCACAGTCCTTCTCTGCGTAGCTGCTGTTCTAGGCAACACTATATTCAAATATACGAGGTGTAGCGAGGCAAAGGCCAAGTAAACAGGTCAACCACACCCAGTACAGCTCATTTTTTACTGCCCTGTGGGTGGGACACAAACTCATGACACTCTGCAGCAACTGGTATATACATACATGTGCTATGGCACATTATGCTCTCACTTAGGATTGTACTAACAAAATCTGCTAGACTTTCGCATCACATGTGGTTAAAAATAATGTTTGCGGAAAAGCACATATAGGCAGAGAGCTTATACAGCTAGATAGACTAACTCACACACAGACAAACAAGATAATAACAGCATGCATGGTGAGGTACATAAGTCTAACCTTGTCTCTCATCTTGCTTTGTACTGAGCTTTCGTGCCTCACCACCACCTCCTTCATCAATGTTTCCCACTGGATGCAAATCAAGGTCTTCCATGCTTTCATCGTAGTCCAGTTCCTCCACTTCTCCCTCTTCTCTACCTTCAACTGTCCCTTCCTCTTTCTCGTTCTCCAATTTTATCTCTTGCTCATCCCACAACAACTGAGCAGTAGTTGGTGATGTCAGACTGAATGAGATGGAAACAGAGCATACAGGGAGCATGAAAACTCTGCCGTTTGAAATAAGGGTGATACTAGGTACATAAATGCACTAGCAGAATAAGAAGCTGCACTTATGGTGTTGTCATTTTTGTGTCACCTGATGGAGGACGAGGAGGTCAAAAGTAGTGAATGAATTTAGAAAACCTGACAACAGCAGTCTACCCTCTTCTAATACTGTATGGACCGTCATTTAGTCTAGTGGAGTGTGTTTGGGTCTCAAACCACAAAGTATGTCATAGGGTCAAAGCATGTCAAGTTTATGTTGAAATGGTATCCCTGTGTCACACCTTGGTGGTCCAGAACTTCCTTGCTCATCAGAAGAGGTTTTATCTTTTTCATTTTTCTCGGCACTATAAATTAAATATGCAGTGAATTAGAAAGATTAGCCATCATGCATGAACTTATAATTTCACAATGTGTAACTTTCATTCTCACTGCTACGACACCTTAGTACAACACTCAATTTTACACACAGTATGCACTTAATATCATACCCAGGTAGAGGGGCGATCTCTAATCAACTGATTTCAAAATGGCGTGGATGCTACATACTTACTTTGTGTGTGTTAATGTGTGTTTTCTGTGTGTGTCACCTCATCTTGTGACATGTGTACTCATGTGCAGAGCTCGTTAGTGCCGTTTGTTAGGCAAAAAAGGTCACTACTGTAGGTTATGAGCAGGTGATGCTACTATTTGACAATTGGGGAATTGGGGATGGCCCTTTTGTTGCCTCTAGCCTTTTGTGGAGGCTAAGGGCAACAAATTAAGTAAATCCGAGTAATTTCAATATTATTACCGGGGGATCCCAGAGTGTCCCCCACACACTCACAACACTGATGGCGTCTCAAGCAATACTAGGCTTAGAGCAAAAATGTTAATTACCTTAGCTCTTTATCTTTCCTTTTTGGTTCAGCCCTGTCACTCATTGAAGCATTTCTCCTTGTAATACCAGATTCTACTCCACTTCTGATGGGAGGACGAACGTCTCGTCTCCTGCCGATATCCAATCGCCTAGTTCGTAGAGAATTACGAGAAATAGATGAGTAGGACGGTCTTCTGGGAGGAGGTCGAAGAAGCCGTCTATCTGGGGATCGGTTGTGTGGGCGGTCACGGACATGAATTGGTGGGCCACACAGAGATCGCATGTCTCGCGATGGTCGAGATTGTATGTGATCAGATATAACCTCTCTTCTCAGTCTGGCATCACGGGAATGTACAGAGGGGGGTGGTGGGGAGTAGGAACGCCTATATGGTCTATGACTATGACGATGGAGAGGGTAACGAGAGGGAGGCGAGGGTGGCCTGTGGCTGTAGACAGACCTACTACTTGTGTGAGGTGGGGGTGAACGAGGTAGAGGGCTCCTACGCACATGCCGTATGATTCTCTCCTTCCTCTGGAGGGCAGGAGGTGGGGGAGGGGGGAGGGGGACTGTGCAAGCGACGCCTTTCACCTGGTGGAGGGCCGCGATGATACTCAGGATAGTCAGTGTGACGTCTTTTCGCAGGAGGATAGTCATGGTAATCTCTGGAACTATGGCGTGAATGGAGGGGATATCCTTTCCTGGCACGTGGAGGAGACCGTGAAGAATGAAGCTTATAGCTGTCATCATGCCACTGTGAGGATGGAGGGTAATGTCGTGAAGAAGAAAAGTTTGACGAAGAGGGTTTTAATCTTGGTTCACCATGGGAATCTCTGTCAAGTGGAAGTTGTTTCTTTCGTATTCGGCGAGAGTGAGGGGAAGTTGAAAATGATCGTCGGGAGGATGAATAAGATGATCTACAACATAATCATACTTGGGTATTTGGTTAAACAAATGAAGATAGCTATAGACATAAAAAGGTTGTGTAAAAAGAGATACGCCAGCAGAAATGAAACTTGCAGCATCAGATGGTAGCACGTTTGCGTTACCACTAGCCCAAAGCAGGGGAGTGGGAGGCTCTAAGCTCTTTTTATCTACTGCATCCTCATGGGCATAGTATCACAAACTGCATGCGCATCTTAGTCCTGAAAAGAAACAAAATGTCAAACCTGGCCGCGGTACACAAAACACACTCTAACCTTTTAGGTAAGTGGCTTTAGAGAAAACAGCTTTTTTATTTTGATGAACTTATCACACCCGATACACTAGTACTCTTATTTTTGCATTTCATAGCGCGAGAAGCAAGATTAAGAAGTGCAGACAGACGGACGGACAGACAGACTTACAAACTAAGTACCGTAACCCTCACTGTGCATGCGCGCCGAGGGTTAATGAAGAAGGCACCATATTGCACAATACATCTGTGTAACCTATCCCAAGATGGACCTTCTTGGTTGAATCACAAAGAGGGTATTTGTGGTTTCATAGGAGATGTGTATAGAACAAAAATTACAGGGTCAGTCTTAATTAGAAAATTATTTTCTATGAAAAATGCAAAAGTACAGTGTTCCAGGCTAAAGTGTAAATTTGCACTCCAGGTCAATTTTCTGGGCTATGCTGAACATCAGTCCAAATAGACATATCAAAATGATCCCCAATCTTTGATGATCAATTTGGTCACAGTGATAAGATGTCACATGGCTGTCATGTGACAGTAACGGCGGATGAAGTTACAAGGTTTGGAAAAAGCGAGCGCTAGACTGCAGCTGTTAGTACGCATGGAAACTATGATATATTGGCTTGTCATTTATGAAATCTGGGAGCGTAACTCCCATAGACCGGGATTTACTTTGCCTAATGACGTACAAGGCACCTCTAAAATCACCGTTTCGGTCTTGGCCCCTGTGCAGAAACGGCGAGGGTGTGCCTGACCTTTAAAGATGCTTCCCTAGGCATGGTACTGCTATGCAAGTTTCAGGTCTTAACTAGCTATTTTGTGGAAATCCTGTGCTTAAAGTACAATATGTTTCCAAACATTGTCACTTAATCCGCCATTACTGTCACGTGACAGCCATGTGACATCTTATCACTGTGATCAAATTGATCATCAAAGATTGGGGATCATTTTCATGTCATACGTTGGACAGATGTTCAGCATGGCCCAGAAAATTAACTTGGAGTGAAAATTTACACTTTCTACTGTCTTAGCCTGGAGCACTGTACATCGGCAAAAATATTTGTGCTTCAAATGTCGACACTAAATGTACTGCGTCTCCTTAATGCATATCCCAAAAACTTATTACATACACAATGGGAAGTAGTATATACCGTGTATAGGAAGAGTAGGATGAATGAGAAACAGAACTGGTACTACGGGATCTGCTCCCACTTGTTGAACTAGCAGTAGATGAATAGGACGAGTAGGATCGAGACCTGGAGAAAGAGTGGCTGGATGATCGACTTGAACTGGCCTTCCTCGTTCTGCCTTGTTCTTTTGCTGCTCTATTCTGGTCATGTAGCTTCTGGGGGTCGACATGAGGCTGGTACTGGGGCCTGCTACTCCTGTGAGAGAATTCTCTGTCCCTTTCTCTTGTCACAACTGCATCTGTCTCATATTCAGTGTCCTGTAGGTAACACAACGATGAACATAAAATCCACAATAGCTTCAGTGAAAAGTGCCACGGCAAACTCATGCTTAATTCTACGTAATAAAAGTCAGCTACAATTAACCATCGGCATGCATGCGCAGCGAGGGTTACGGTAGTTGTCGTGTGTGTCTGTCTGTCTGTAAGTCAGTCTGTTACCTTACATCTCACTCACCAAGCTACCAATCGCTCCACAAACACCACCACGTATTCAGTTTTTATGCTTGTGCACACGTTCGGATGAAGGTCGAAGAATATGTGGGGTTTTACTGCTGCGTTAGGGAGTTACAGCGTGAAAGCCAAAAAGCCAATTGCTAATTAGAACAGGCTCACCTCGAGCTGGTCCGCCCGCTTGCTCTGTGTATCTTGAAGTCACAACGAAGGCGTGTATTGACTCCCGCATGCTATCTATTGCTGTAGCTCGCCCATGTCAGACTCTATACGAGCTACTAGCGTGGAGACCACGAGCATACTAATAGCCCAACCCATCATAGCGGTACCGTGCATGCACAGTTCGCCGAGGGTTTGCACATCAGTGCTTTTTCATTTCTACTTAAATTGGACATCAATCATCCCTCTTGAGCCTTCATCACACTCTTTCGAGAGAAAATGCATAGGAAATTCTACTGCTGTGCAACAGGTTAATTAATGAAAAGCACAAAAGTGCAAACCCTCGGTGAAGTCGAAACGCATGCGTGTATTTATACGCTGTGTGTACTGCTAATTGATGGGCGGGGCTATTTTTACTAGTGTACAGTACATACTCGTGGTCTTTTGCCAAGTCGCAGAGTCCGTGACAGGCCAGTTATACAACTAGATAGCCTGTGGGAGTCGACACTCGCCCTGCATTGAAAATCCCGGTGCCTACAAGGTACGCAGAGAGAAAGTGGGTCTGCCGAGGTAAGCCTGTGTTCACGCCATAACTCTCGCACACAGTACTTTCATAATTTAAAAACAAGCCAGTGTAGCGCTGAAGTGTTTAGTATTGCTCTTTTGTCATGTCGTTGCATGTGGTGGTAGAAAACGTGGTAACAGACAGACGGACAGACACACACACTTACGAACAACTGTAACCCTCGCTGCGCATGTGCTCTGAGGGTTGATACTAGTCACAAAGTGTTTTGGCATCTGGCAGAAAGGACAAAGCAACTCACATACACCTTGCAACATAGTAGCTATTGGTCTGCATTAGCAGTGAGTTGCCCATTCAACACTCACAGGAGGAATGAAGTTACTCGGAGATAAAGCATACAGCCTGCGTGGCTACAAAACGCTACTAACTGATGATGCTACCCCGTATTAAACTGACATCGGTGTGGCATGGTCCAACCCATCGATTGGTAATGTACACTTCAGGCTATCCTGGTGCAATATCTCAATCTGAGGGTTGACGTGCTTCCAGCAACAATATCTTCGGTAAACTAGAAACGCGCATTACAATCCCATAAGCTGTTTTCTCTCGACTGGGCAAAGTACATGCCTGACCTGCATAACTAGGATAGTAGATACAGTAGCATGCAGTACTCAATACGTTGAAACTTCTGGTTTCTCAAAGGTACACAAAGCAGGCAGATCTGGTCGCAGTAAGCCAATGCTAGTTTGCATAATGGCTCATTCACTTTTCACACCAGAACTCTGTAACAGAGAACTTCCATTATTCTTAAACAGTGTACATAGGTCTACCCTCGGCGCGCATGCGCAGCGAGGGTTACTGTAATTGGGTCTGTCTGTGTGTGTGTCTGTTACTCTTCATCTCACTTCTCGAGTGTTCATTCGTCTCACAAAGGATACCACCTACTTAACGGGCAATGAAGATCAGAAATTTCGAACGGTTTCTCTGAAAACGCTCCATTGCAAAGCTAGAGCGCTTCCACCATTGTAGGCTAGTGCGTAGTCGCCCATTTTATCGCTGCGGAAAATGTGCACGTGCTTATTAACCTCGACCGGGTCTGCTTGCTCTGTGTATCTTGAAGGTACAAGAAGGGCGTGTATCGACTCTCGCATGCTATCTACTACTGTAGCTAGCCCGTGTCAGACTCCCTGCGAGCTACTAGCAGGATACCACGAGTAAACACATACTAATAGCCCAGCCCATCAATTAGCGGTACCGCGCATGCGCAGTTCGCTGAGGGTTTGCACTTTAGTGCTTTTGATTTGTAATTGTTATCGTTCTTGGCCTAGTGACAGAAAACATGGTAACAGACAGACACACAGACAAAGTACTGCAACCCTTGCTGTGAATGCACGCCAAGGGTTAATAATCGCTCAATGAAACATTTGTATGCACATAACTGTACTGATGAACTCACCTGTCTCGCTCTGCGCTCTTTCCTCTGGAGGCAGAAAGAAGTGCACAAGTAGATAAAAATGAAACTAAAAGGTATTCTTATTTTCTTTTGCTAAACTCTCACGTTATGAAGTTATACACTGAGGCTTCCCTTATGTACGTGTGGTCTATGACTACACAAGAACCAAAAAACTGACTGGGGCTCTACAAGAATAAAAACCTAAAGCAAAACCCTGAGGTCCACGAGAACCTGCAAACTGGGCACTGCAAGAAACAAACGGCAAATGTGACTTGAAGGAACTAACAGCTGGCTATCGGGGCTCCACATAAACGCAAAAAGTTACAGAAAAAAGCTGAAAGGGACTCCACAATAGCCAAAAGCTAATTAGGCTCAAAGAGAACACAACAGTACTATGTAACTGGGTTAAACGTGAATCAAAACCTGACTTCGCTTCACATGAAGCTAAATAGAAATCTAAACCATTAGAACTTGTGAAACCCCCTGGTTAGTATTTTGACTGTCTTAAATCGTCCATGTGCCAATGCTGACACTGGAGTATGTATGTACATGCATATTTACACATGATTAAACACTTACACAAATCACCACTCGTGCACACTTAGTCTTGGACTACCATTGAAGTTGGAGACGGCCATTATGAGGCTCTGATGAACTTGCTTTCGACTGCGTATTCAAACTCCACATGAAGATATCGAATACGATTTTGCACTACGTACACGACGAACACCTCCAACCATCAATGACTTGCTATAGAGGGCAATTCGACACGACTCACCGTTTCGAGAAACGACAGAGCAGAATTCGGTTGTTTAAGCACTACATGACTGGTGTGATCCCCCATTCCCACCACCCAACCCACCACCACCACAAAATTGCCTGGACACACGAGATACAGAAATAGCACTATATCAGACGTCATATTATGCGATCATTGATGGCTTGTTTTTGCCGTGCCCTCGTTTAGCAAATCCAGCAGCACCTGTGTCGCCGCCGTCTTCGAGAGAGATTGCGACGAAGTTGCAATAGATGCAGCGATAGTGGGCGATCATACCCACTTCCAACTCTCGGTCGAGTGGGCCGACAAACGTAACACTACACACTCTGCTCGACCTATGGGTCAGTTGTACAATAGCAATCCTGCAATACCATCGAGCATGGCATGGGGTTTAGTGTAGTCCATACACGCCAGATTATGAGTACCAACCAGATACTGTAGGATGGGTATCGAATTACGACTACTTCACAGCAGGGACAAAAACAAAGAAAGAGGGGTAACAGACCTCTTCTTACGTAAGCACATACGGTAAGTAGTAGAAGGAAAGGCTCCATATAGGCTCCATACTATAATACGCATGTACCTTGGGAGGCAGTGTACTCAGAGCTTTTAGTCGCAGAGCATTCATTTCTCTTTCATCCAAATCCTCCTCCATAATCATAATAGTAGAAGCTTGGGTCGACTGAAGCTAATCCACAGTTTTCACACCGGGGGACGCAGTCAGGCGACGAAGTATGTTATTCTGGGCGTGGAGAGGGTGATCGCGGCCCAGGCGAAGTCACATGACCTTTTTGTCGTGGAGTGCGCATGCGTGAGAGCATGCACTTCTTGCTGCTGCGGTTGAGCTGAGCATAGCACAAAAATGCAACGTGCCGCGAACTTGCAGCCGCAGATTGTCAATGAGCGAAGACTTCACGCTGGTGAAGGACGGAGAAGGCGGCGAGCTCGACGGTGCGGGGTCTGTCAAGGCTGTATACGAGAAGACTGTGGACAGTGTCGAAATTGCAAAGATAAGGTTAAATTTGGAGGCCCAGGAACCAAAAAGCAAAGATGTGTGCTGAGAGCATGCGCCAACATGGTAAGCATGGTTGTACTCTAGCATGGTGAAGAGTGAAATGCTCTGATTTTTATTCAAAGCAGCTGCAGAAAATGTCTTCAACAAGGTACTCTGAAGAGGAAGAGAAGGATTTGACAAGTTTTAAAATCACCTGTGTGTTTTGTGGCCGAAAGAGAAAGAAAGGTCTTTCAAGGTCTGCCTTCTTTTGCACCAAGCACTGCCAAACAAGATGGCAAGACAGCCATCCTGGGGAATTACCAATTCAAGGTATGCTATTGTAAATAAGAAATTGATGAAAGAGGAATGGGGATGGTAGAAAAAGGAAGGAAGAAAAGAGAGATTGAATACATGAAGCTAGTCTGGCGTAGCCACACCCTCTCGCTAAAAGAGGAGAAGGTCTAGCCTGCCTAGCAGCAACGAGATGTGCTGAATAACCGAAAATTGGTTATCTCTGATCAGATTGCAGAACAGCCAATTAAAAGCATTGCTAGCTTACGATGTGCAAAATCAGCATGAAAAAAACACTTTCGTGCAGTGAGCTGAGCTGCCTGCACCGGGAGCATTGGCTGTTGGCTTCGGTAAGCTCATGGATCGTCACTTCCTCGTAGTTGGCCATGAAACTCACACGGGGTAGCTTTGTTATGGCTGTTTCTCGTGTGTAGATTGAATGTGTGCATGCGTATTATTTAAATGGAAAAACGATTACGTCATTGCACATGCTAGGCAGACCAGACCATCTCCTCTTTTAGCGAGAGGGTGTGGCTACGCCAGACTAACATGAAACATTGTTAACGAACAGATTTAAACACACTCTGACACTTCCGACCCCATCACACAATTCCTGTATTGTTGCCTGGTGTGCCACACTTATAAACGCTATTTTGACTCTATGACAGTGTTGGCCACTCAGTGGCATGACACTTTCCACTCCGTTCGTAAACCTGTATTTTCAAGGTATACAGGTCTTGTAATGGAGAATGTTAAATCATAACCTAGGGAACAATATAGGGGTGGTGTTGGGGGGTGAGGGGAGATGGGGACAGCGTCCCATGCTTCATGTACAATATATCTCATCGATATATTGTCTCACTTTGTTTATACCATCCCTATATACCACTTTATTACTTGTCTCTGCTGTATACACTGTACCTCTCTGAAAGGAGGGCAAGTCCTCTATAATACAAGGAAATTAAAAATCCTGCGAATTAAAAAAAGAGGCATATAGCTAGGGATGGTATAAAAAGGAAGGGAGACAAGATAGGGATGGGATACATGAAGCACCGTTAATGAACAGATTTGAGTACGCAGACACCCCCAACCCCATCACACAATCCCTATATTGTTGCCTGGTGTGCTATTCTTATGGGGGCTAAAGGTTACTAAAAGCAAGCATTCTTTCACCGTCTCCCTGTTGTTTTTAGTAACATTTATACTGCCACATTCCCTTCCACTTGGACTCTATAAGGGTGTTAGTTACTCCGTAGTGTATTGTAAGTTCTGAGTATTGTAATGGTGAATGTTTAATACTTCACCTAAGCAACAATATAGGGATTGTGTGATGGGGTTGGGGGTGTCTGCCTGTTCATTAACCATGCTTCATGTATCCCATCCCTATCTTGTCTCCCTTTCTTTTTATACCATCCCTATATGCCTCTTTTTTTATTCGCAGGATTTTTAATTTACTTGTCTCCACTCATTTTTATATACTACTACGTATTATCTCTGTGGAATGGGGCAAGTCCCTATAAAATTAATAACAGAGAATAAAGGCCTGTTGTCGTCATGGAAATGATATGCATACCATGTTTCAACTCCATGCGTGCTATAGTTAGCAAGTTTGAGGAGTGAAGAAGTAATTTTAAAGAAAAGTGCCTGAGGCTCTTTGTTGTCCATACAAAATGTCATGACTGTGTTATTTCTTTTTTGGGTTATGGGTGTGGAATCTGAAGAATATGAACAAAACTCCATGTCATAGCCCAATACATTAATGATGCTAAGCCCATCCCTATCACTAAGGACGGTAGTACAGCATCATGATGTATGGGGCTATGATAGGGAGTGTTGTTCATCGTCTTCTTCTTCAGATTCAACACCCATAACTCAAAAACGAAACAACATAAAGTATTGAAATTTTGTAAGAATGTAGATATCTGTCACCTGAAGAGACTGGTCACACTTATATTGTTTGTAAACAACAATTTAGACGTCGGCTGATTCAAATTGACCAATCAGATTGTGTAAAACGTGGATTCTAATTCCCGTTTTTTCCAAGTGCGTGTTTCCACGGAGACGCCCGCCAAAAAATGGCGTCTTCGATGGGGGTGTGGCAAGCTTCTGCGCAGAGAAACTCGCTCTGTCGCTGAGAGCTCGCTGCGACGACTTCAAGCTCGCTGTATCCGATGCTCCTTCGAAGAAATGTGTCTCTACAATGCAAAAAGAACCTGAAATGAAGACCTTTTAGCTTTCCCCGGCGAGAGCGAGTCTCGCGGAAGACGGCGGACTCGGACGATTGGACGGCCAGCACGGCCACCATCTAAATAGGTTATACTGCTTGTCAATGGAAATACACTATTTAGACGGCCTCAGATCCCTTAGTACCGTCTTCGCTGCCCTCAGACAGCTACAGCTCAGGGCTCCTTGGGCCGTCTAAATCGCGTATTTCCACTGATGCGCAGTATAACCTATATGTAAACAACAACAAACACCCCAGGAAATACATTATTGGGCGAGCGGAGTGAGCCCACCTAGTCGTGTCTTCGGCTCGAATTTTCTATATTATATATACGTCGCACCGTCGTCTTAGTGCGCATGTGTTAATATTACGCGCTTCTTATTATACGAAATACTGTGCGGAATTTTTTCTCCATTCTGGCTTCGAAGGTAGTCCAGTTGGCTTAGAAGGAGATGGATTCATCCGCGGAGGATGGTGTTCTTTATCGAAGAGAAACAGACCTAGAGAATCGTGTCTTCGGCCCGAATTGGATAATTTTCTATCTATATATGCCCGGCCGTCGAAAGTCCTCACGACAGAGAGGTTCGTCTTTTTCAGGGGCGATTACGAGATCGAGAGCGGGCAAGGCAACGATACTGCTTCTGGTCCAAGAGGTAGACAGACAGAACGCCCGGCCGTCGAAAGTCCTCATGACAGAGAAGCTCGTCTTTTTCAGGGGCGATTACGAGATCGAGAGCGGGCAAGGCAACGATACTGCTTCTGGTCCAAGAGGTAGACAGACAGAACGCCCGGCCGTCGAAAGTCCTCACGACAGAGAGGCTCGTCTTTTCAGGGACCATTACGAGATCTTGAGCGGGCAAGGCAACGATACTGCTTCTGTTCCAAGAGGCAGACAGACAGAACGCCCGGCCGTCGAAAGTACTCACGATATCTACGTATGCGCAAGTGGCCTTACTCAACCTAATAGGTATTATGTCAACACCATAATAACTTCTGTTACTTGCTGAAACATTTTACCTGTAGGTACGTAGCTACATTATCGCTAGTAATGATGATGGTTGTATATACTTGAGTTCTCGCTCCGCTCGCCCAAAGAATGCCAAGCATTTCCACTAGTAAAGGGCATACATGGGTCATTGTAACTCACAAATGTCAAGAGCTATGTGAACGAAACTTTGTATCACAATTAAGTACTAGGTTCGAATTGACCAATCAGATTGCAAAGCCGAGGTTTACTATTTCCCGTAGTAAACGTCAGCTGGGTTTACTACAGTACCTACAGATTCAACAAGAAAACACAACCAAATGTACACGTAAACAACAAGATCGACTACATTGACGCATTGTCCACGCGTACACGCAGACCATCACGCGCAAGAAGGCGGAGTCAAAACCCGCACATCGATGCACTGGATTTTCTGGTGCTCTGAGCCTGTCTCCATCGAGTGATCGTTAGAAGGGCTCCACCTTAAGAATGAACAAGAAAGCCAGAGAGCTTTAAAATAGTTAGACGTTGATTCCACGGTTACTACGTTTGTAGAAAGTAGAAAGCCTTGTGCCCCGGGAGTAGCGCCCTTTCTGCGCTTGGGGCGTCATATTGCCGGGACTCTCGGCTTTCTGCTGTGCGTAGTTACCTGTCTATCTATTATCACTAAGTACAGTAGTACTTAAATTAAAAATCCTGCGAATTTAAAAAAAGAGGCATATAGGGATGGTATAAAAAGAAAGGGAGGCAAGATAGGGATGGGATACATGAAGCATGGTTAATGAACATGCTGACACCACCAACCCCATCACACAATCCCTATATTGTTGCCTGGTGTGCTACTCTTATAGGGAATGTGGCATTATATAAAGAGCTAAAGGTTACTAAAAGTAAGCATTCTTTCACCGTCCCCCCGTTGTTCTTGGCAACATTTCTACTTCGTATACTGAATTGGCTGAGGCATTTTCAAACAAAATGTGGTCGTCATGGAAATGATATAATAGGCATACTTACCAAGTTTCATCTCTGTGTGCTACCATTGGAGAGTTTGAGGAGTGAAGAAGTAAATTTAAAGAAAAGTGCCTGAGGCTATTTGTTGTTGTTTACAAACATATGCTGTTTTCATTTTAATGTTGGTGATTGAATACATTATGTCTACAAAGTTTCGTTCACATAGCTCCTACCATTTGTGAGTTATACTGACGCATGTGATCCCATTATAATGTATTGCCTGGGGCTATTTGTTGTTGTTTACAAAGAAATAAGTATGACCAGTCCCTTCGGGTGGCGGATATCTATATTCTTACAAAATTTCATTACTACATGTTATTTCGCTTTTGAGTTATGGGTGTTGAATCTGAAGAAGGAGAAGGAGAAGGAGAATCATAGCTACACAAGTAAATTTAAAATCCTGCGACTTAAAAAAAAAAGAGGCATATAGGGATGGTATAAAAAGGAAGGGAGACAAGATGGGGATGGGATACATGAAACATGGTTAATGAACAGATTTGAGTACGCTGACACCCCCAACCCCATCACACAATCCCTGTATTGTTGCCTGGTGTGCTACTCTTATAGGGGCTAAAGGTTACTAAAAGCAAGCATTCTTTCACCGTGTCCCTGTTGTTTTTAGTGACATTTATACTGCCACATTCCCTTTAATTAAACTCCATTTGAACTCTATAAGGGTGTTGGTTACTCAGTAGTGTATTGTAAGTTCTGAGTATTGTATATATTGGTGAATGTTTAATACTTCACCTAGGCAACAATATAGGGATTGTGTGATGGGGTTAGGGGTGTCTGCGTACTCAAATCTGTTCATTAACCATG